TTAACCCACCTCCCACCCCCACCCCATGCTCTTTCCCTAAAATAAAGGTCATTTCATTCACCACCATAAACAGCAGCCCATATGTCCCCCAGGTAGCCTGGAAAAGCATGGGTTATCTAAATCCCAAGCTGGCCTCTACTCTTTCCACTGTACTGTCTTGTTGCCCTAGAAGACAGGATGAGGGAACAGGGCAATGGGTCAAGCTCCCTACCCTCCAAGGGAAACACTTGTGCCCATCTCTACAATGGGTAAATGCCATCTCAGCTGCCACCTTTGACAAATACAGTTTGTTAAGCCTGTTCTATTCAAATTATCCTACCACAATCTTTCGAGGGGAATTTGGCAACATCCCAACTGTAGAGGTACTTTATCTTTTTGTTTTTTTAATTGTTTATTTATTATTTATGGCTGCGTTGGGTCTTCACTGCTGCTAACGGGCTTTCTCTTGTTGCAGCAAGCGGGGGCTACTCTTTTGTTGCGGTACATGGGCTTCTCATTGCAGTGGCTTCTCTGGTTGTGGAGCAGGGGCTCTAGGTGTGCGGGCTTCAGTAGTTGTGGCGCACAGGCTTAGTTGCTCCGTGCCATGTGGGATCTTCCCAGACCAGGGATCGAACCCGTGTCCCCTACACTGGCAGGCGGATTCTCAACCACTGCATCACCAGGTAAGTCCCAAGGCACTTGACCTTTTGACTTATCTTTTATTTCTAGGGATTTACCCTGACAATACACCTCCCACAACGTGAAAATACACATGCACGAGGCTATTTATTGCAGCATTGTTCATAATTGCAACACACTGAAAACAAGCCAAATGCCTACACATCAGAGCACTGTTGAATAAACTATGGTACATCCACACAATGGAATACAACCCAGCTGCAAAAAAGGATTGAGGAAGATCTCTAGGAACTGATATGAAGTGACTTGCAGGACATTCTGTTAAGCAAAAACCGCAAAGTGCAAAAGAGTATCTATAGCGTACTACCTTTCACGTAAGAAAGAGGAGATAAAATATTCATGTACTTTCTCATTTGTGCAACGAGAAATACAGTACAGAAACAAGAAACTAAGGAGATCGGTTATCTACAGGGGGTGGGTGGGAACAAGGTGGAAAGAAGAGGGAAATGGGAAATTGAGAGGAGGTTAAGGAGGAAGTAACACTTCTCTGAGCAAGACTTTTTGAATGGTTTTGATTTTTAAAATCTTGCTTACGTCTCTGACATATTCAAAAATAAAAAACTAAAATCAACCAGGATATGACCGGAACCCAAAATGGAGTATAAAAAGAAACAAATGAATCTAACTGCACTACAAATAAATAATATAACAACACTGAAGGGGGTGGGGAAAGAAAGGGAGTAACTTTGGAAAATAGTTACTTTCTTGACTAGATACTAGAGTATAAATCTTTAGCTTTACAGTAAGTTTTTTCCACAGCCGCATGGGTTAACAATTTGGAAACTAATGTACTTTATTCTGTATTCATTCTAAGGTTGAGTAAATAAGTAAACATATTGTGACTAAAAGGAGCCAGGTGTCTCTCTGGTGCAGAAAAGAGTTACAAATAATAAAAGGGGGGAAGACTAAAATAAGCCCCGTGCAGGTAGTTTCGAATCAGTCATATCAGTAGAAATTCAAAGATTTTTGATAGACAGATACACAGATACATAGTCAGATAGAGGGAAGTGTGTGTGTATATATACTTTTTCTACCTCTGTGCTCTGAGAAGGTATAAAGCTCATGACACCCCAGTGTGAATGAGTACGTCTAGCCTCTAAGATCTTGGTTTCTAAGCACCATTCTCCGCTAAAGGAAACAGAGCTCCTTAGAGAAATGACTGCTTCCAGGACTGGGCAGGGAAAGTACAAAACGAGCATAAACATCTTTTGATACCATAAATGAAAAAGTCCAAAAAAATATGATGTGGGACTATCTAAAGAACACAGCAATCAACTCGAAAGGTCTCCTAATGGTCAAATCTGGAACAATTTGAGCAACAAAATAAATGATGATAGTAATGGAATAAAACAAATATCCCTGAGTCCATACTGATATTAACAAGTAAATGAATAAATAAATACAGAAGGGAAGCTGTTTCTTACAGTAGAATTCCAATGCACAAATGCATATGGGATGACAGAAATAGAAAATTACCATTTGGCAAACATCATAGTAATGATCATCACAGGCAAGAATTATCAAGGGATTTCAAAGTATGATGAGAAGCAGGATATTTATGTAATCTCAAAGCACTTCCTGACAAGATGTTTACTAATTGCAAAGGGGGAAACAGTAACTTTTTAGTGGAGAAAGCTTACAGACAGCACCCTACCCAAGTGACCAAAGTTACCATCAGTAGCAATGAAACCTATCAGTATCACACACCTCCTCACATGATTAACTGAGACAGACACAACCTTTCTGTGGTACTTTTTCAAAAATGCATGACTTAAATTCAGTCATGAGGAATCATCAAACAAACCCATTTTGAGGGACAGTCTACAAAATAACTGGCCAGTGCTCTTCATTCGTGTCAACGTTGTGAAAGAAAGAGACTGAGGAATGGCCACAAACCAGAAGATACCAAGGAGACGTGACAACTAAAATGAAATGTGTGATCCTGAATTGGATGCCAAATTAGATGCTGGAATTGTAAAAAGGGCAACGATGGGACAAATGACACAATTTGAACAGGGCATCTTAGAAGAGTTAATAGTATCATAGCAATATTAATTTCCTGGTTTTTATGTCTGTACTATGGTTTGTCAGACGATAGTATCTGGGGAAGCTGGGTGAAGCACAGACACAAAGTCTGTGTAGCTATGTATTATTTTTGTAATTTGGGGAGTGGGGAGGAGGTCTGCAATTATTTCAGATAAAAAGTTAAAATATAAAAGTAAATGTAAAACACAAAAATTTCCATCAAATTCTCATTTCTTGGGAAGTTGCCTTTTTCCTATGCAACCACATAAGGTGAGACAAGGAAACAGACTGAATGAAATATAAGCAGATTCGTGTACGAAGCCCACGTGCCAATGTAAGAAAGTCACGTGACCAAAAAAAGAAATCCAGTAGAGGAAATCCATGTATAAAGAGCTGAGGAATAGAATTCACTACTTTTGAGCTATATGTGGAAATATATTTGTGTGTATGATAAACATCATGTCACGAATACACCTTCAAAGAAAAGAAAAGAAAAAATAAACTGTTGGCCTCCGCAGACTACTTTCTGCTTGAAAAATGCCGCATACTCAGAGGACTGTTTGAACCACAATCATGCAAACATATTACATGAAACAGCACAAAGAGGAAGGGAGCTGGGGGTGGGGGTAGGGAATGGGATCAGGGAGGGGACGTTTCAAGAACACACGAGACGTCCAGTGTCTGGAAGTTTCTGAGTATTCCAGTTGCTGGCAACAACATTTCTAAATTGTGAAAAATAATGACATTAACACACCATGACTCACAGAGGAAACACTCTGTAATCAGTAATTTATTATTCTATTCCTCAGCTTTACTCACTGACTTTCGCGAACTGAAGTGAAAAATCCTCACTTAGCGGAACCTGACTTGGCCTTTCTGATGGGAGGGGAGGGGACACTTTATTTCCCAACATGCAATGTGTCGCTGTTAGTTAATCAAGGTCCCTTCTAGAGCTACCACACAAATTCAGTGAGTCCACAACTCTATGAGTAGGTACATTTTGTTCCACAGGCAGGCACTGCATCTAAAATGTGTTGGAGAGAGGCCGCTTGACTTTGCTGTCTATAACTAAGGCACATAAAGTCAACTGCACAGCCCAGCTGTTAGAGCGATCCTTCCCCTGTAATGTATGGTTCTCCAATGTAACATCTCTACAATGACCTTAGAAATCAAAATAAAAGAGCCACCACCAAACTCAAAGCCTAGAAGGATACTGCCAGCCAGGGTTGCACCCACTACATCAGCTGTCAGACATCCAGCCTGCAGCATAGCTGTCAGACACGTGTTGAAGCCTTCTGGATCCCAATTCAGGCCTCCCTGTCTCCAGGTGGACTTTCTTTAGACCCCAGCCTCAGTCTGGTCCTCTTCCTCTACGTCTCCAAAGAACCCTGTGCTTCCACACTTGCTAGCACTTCAAACAATGACGTATAATTGGCCATTTTCCTTCTCTCTCTCCCAGCGGGATTTGACCCTGAAGGCAGGGTCCACGCACACCCTTCGGTACATCCCCAGCATCTGACACAGTGCTTGGCCCATACAGGCACCTGACGCATGCTGGCAGGCAGGTGGCACCTGTGTAAGGCACGCCTGTTGTGCATGCAGTCCAGCCACGCAGCACGTGGTTATTCATGTAACTTACTTCACGGACCCCTGCATGCCAGCAGTGTTCTAGCTGGTGAGAACACTGGGATGACAGAGATGGAGGAGGGGCCAGCCTCTGGAATTGAGAATCTAGTGGAGGAGACTGACTTTAAACACACAGCCATGCAAATAATTATGTAATTACAATTGGGAGAAACACAGTAAAAAAGCAAAAGTATAGCAGGGCTATAAGATCATGTAACTAGATAACCTGAACACATGAGGTATGAATTTTAAAAGCTTACCCAAGGCAACAATGGAGGTTGGGAAGGATGGGGGCAGGGGAGAGGGGAATAAACTCAGCAGACAGTCACAACTCCACTATTTAGAACTCGAGGAAAAAACCTGGAGATGAGCCAACTGCCAGCCTCAAGGGAATGGCTACACATGGCCTTACCCAGGCAACCGGAGGGAATGTAACTACTGAGCCATTTAAAAATGACAAGTATGTGAACTATGTTGATATGAGGGAAGATATTAATAGAGTTTATTATGGATTGGATTTTCTTCAACCATAAAGGTGCTTAGGTTCATTAACAAAAATTTTGGAACTCAGCCTCAGCCAATCCTGTCAAGATAATCTCTACACTCTGGGGGCTGGCAGCACTGGTGGCCCTCAAGGTCTTGGGGCAGAATAGAAGCGCCAGGAGGGCTGGGGAGGTCCTCCAGTGGAGCCGTCATTTTCCAGATGCAGACTCAGAGTCAGCTGGTCAGAGCGCCCACCTGGGAGAGTGCTTCACTCCCCTTCCATCCCACGTGCGGTGCTTTCAAGGGGCTCCTCAAATAAGGAAGGGAGGCTGGAGATCAGGCGAGTAACCACATCCTGCATCAGGAAGAAAAGGCTTTCTCCCAGGCGGATGTGGAAAGGCTTCTTGAAATACCCTGGAGCCTGCTCTTACTACAGAAAATGACAGCTGGCCAGTCCTCACAGCAAGTGGCTAGCTGAACCTGAATGGCCCCTACATTTTTTTAAAGGTAAGGGGTTCAATCCTTAGCTATTGAAAGCATAGAGTCTGGACGAGCAACATCAGCATCACCCGGGAGCTTGTGTTTTTGTTTTGTTTTTAAAATTTATTTATTTATTTATTCATGGCTGTGTTGGGTCTTCGTTGATGCTCACGGGCTTTCTCTACTTGTGGCGAGCAGGGGCTTCTCACTGCAGTGGCTTCTCTTGTTGTGGAGCACGGGCTCTAGGCGTGCAGGCTTCAGTAGTTGTGGCATGCGGGCTCAGTAGTTGTGGCGCGTGGGCTTAGTTGCTCTGCGGCATGTGGGACCTTCCCGGACCAGGGATCAAGCCCGCGTCCCCTGCATTGGCAGGCAGATTCTTAACCACTGAGCCACCAGGGAAGTCCCACCCGGGAGCTTGTTAGAAACACAGAACCTTGGTCCCACCCAGACCTACTGAAACATCATCTGCACTTTTTCTCTATTTTTTATTTATTTATTATTTTATTGGCTTACAGCTGCTTTACAATATTGTGTTAGTTTATACTATATGGCAAAGTGAATCAGCTATACACATACATATATCCCCTCTTTTTTGGATTTCCTTCTCATTTAGGTCACCACAGAGCACTGAGTAGAGCTCCCTGTGCTATACAGTAGGTTCTCAGTAGTTATCTACTTTATACATAGTATCAATAGTGTATATATGTCAATTCCAATCTCCCAATTCATCCCACCGCCCCCCTTGGTATCCATATGCTTGTTCTCTACATCTGTGTCTCTATTTGTGCTTTATAAATAAGATCGTCTATACCAATTTTTTCAGATTCCACACATGTGAGCTAATATACAATATTTGTTTTCTCTTTCTGACTTACTTCACTCTGTATGACAGTCTCTAGATCCATCCACGTCTCTACAAATGACCCAGTTTTGTTCCTTTTTATGGCTCAGTAATATTCCATTGTATATATGTACCACATCTTCTTTATCCATTCGTCTGTCAATGGGCATTTAGGTTGCTTCCATGTCCTGGCTATAGCAAATAGTGCTGCAATAAACACTGGGGTGCATTCTGGGTATATGCCTGGTGGTGGGATTGCTGGGCCATATGGTAGTTCTATTTTTAGTTTTTTTGTTTTTTTTTTTTTTGCGGTACGTGGGCCTCTCACTGCTATGGCCGCTCCCGTTGCGGAGCACAGGCTCCAGACGCGCAGGCTCAACAGCCATGGCTCCCGGGCCCAGCCACACTGCGGCATGTGGGATCCTCCCAGACCGGGGCACGAACCCGTGTCCCCTGCATCGGCAGGCGGACTCTCAACCACTGTGCCACCAGGGAAGCCCTATTTTTAGTTTTCTAAGGAATCTCCTTACCATCCTCCACAGTGGCTGTGTCAATTTACATTCCCACCAACAATGCAAGAGTGTTCCCTTTTCTCCACACCCTCTCCAGCATTTACTGTTTGTAGATTTTTTGATGATGGCCATTTTTACTGGTGTGAGGTGATACCTCATTGTAGTTTTGATTTGCATTTCTGTAATAATTAGTGATGTTGAGCAGCTTTTCATGTGTTTCTTGGCCGTCTGTATATCTTCTTTGGAGAAATGTCTATTTAGGTCTTCTGCCCGTTTTTGGATTGGGTTGTTTGTTTTTTTGATATTGAGCTGCATGATCTGTTTGTATATTTTGGAGATGAATCCTTTGTCTGTTGCTTCATTTGCAAATATTTTCTCTCATTCTGAGGGTTGTCTTTTCATCTTGTTTATGGTTTCCTTTGCTGTGCAAAAGCTTTTAAGTTTCATCAGGTCCCATTTGTTTATTTCTGTTTTTATTCTCATTACTTTAGGAAGTGGGTCAAAAAAGATCTTGCTGCAATTTATGTCAAAGAGTGTTCTGCCCATGTTTTCCTCTAAGCGTTTTATAAGTGTCTGGCCTTACATTTAGGGCTTTAATCCATTTTGAGTTTATTTTTGAGTATGGTGTTAGGGAGTGTTCTAATTTCATTCTTTTACATGTAGCTGTAAAAGAATGAAATTAGGACAGTTTTCAATAAGTGGTGCAGTTTTCGCAGCACCACTTACTGAAGAGGGTGTCTTTGCTCCATTGTATAATCTGGCCTCCTTTGTCATAGATTAGGTGACCATGGGTGCATGGGTTTATCTCTGGGCTCTCTATCCTGTTCCATTGATCTGTATTTCTGTTTTTGTGCCAGTAGCATACTGTCTTGATTACTGTAGTTTTGTAGTAGAGTCTGAAGTCAGGGAGACTGATTCCTCCAGTTCCATTTTTGTTTCTCAAATTGCTTTTGCTATTCAAGGTCTTTTGTGTTTCCATACACATTGTAAAATTTTTTGTTCTAGTTCTGTGAAAACTTCCATGGGTAATTTGATAGGGATTGCACTGAATCTGTAGATTGCTTTGGGTAGTGTAGTCATTTTCACAATACTGATTCTTCCAATCCAAGAACATGATATATCTCTCCTTCTGTTTGTGTCATCTTTGATTTCTTTCAACAGTATCTGATAGTTTTCTGCCTATGGGTCTTCTGCCTCCTTAGGTAGATTTATTCCTAGGTATTTTATTCTTTTTGTTGCAATAGTAAATGGAATTGTTTCCTTAATTTCTCTTTCTGATCTTTCGTTGTTAGTGTATAGGAATGCAAGAGATTTCTGTGTATTAATTTTATATCCTGCGACTTTACTAAAGATCCCCAGAATAGTCACATGCACGTTAAGGTCTGAGAAGCACTGATTCAGTCCTAGAGTACAGGAGGATTCATTTACTCATTCCTCAAACATTCACTGACTTCTCTGCTAAATCCTGGGCAGATCCAAAGATCTGACTAGGCACCCACAAGGTCCAGCAGGAGAGAGAGCCAGGTGAGTGGGTGATGCAGCTGCCCTTCTGCAGCCCCAGGGAGAGGAAATCCATGGCTGAACCACTTAAGATCTTTTGAGAAAGAAGCCAGAGAGTCCAAGGTTGGAGATGGATCAATAAAAATCTTTAGAAAACTTATACATTAAATACAATGAAAGAGCACCCTTGATAAAAAACCATCAAGGGCCTTTTACACAACTTCCATCAGTAAGGTGCTGTACTGTTGCTTTACACTTTGCATCCTCTGCTGGCTAGAAACTTTCGCATTCTCTCTTGCCCACAGTTTCTGTGAGATGCTAGTAGATTAACTTTGTTGTGTTACAGATACTGATCCTGAACAGCCTGCATCAGCACTGACTGTGTTCAGCATGACTTGGAGTTCAAGGTGAACAGAGTCGTCCAAGGTGAGCCCAGACACATTCAGGCCAGGCTGCAAAGGCTCCGGGCCTCACCCCGAGCCCACAGAGAGGTCAGATCAGGATCAGAACTGGGTTTTTAAGAGAAAACTCAGATCCCCAAGTCGGGGAGAAGCTGGAGGAGAGAGCCTGGAGGCAAGAATGCGGAGTGGATGAGAGTGAGGGCCTGAGCCAAGGCAGGGACAGGACGGAGTTCAGAGAGTGAGGCTGGAAGGTTTCAGGCAGTGGATGCCAGGCAAGGTCTCTAAGCCCAGGTGAGTGGGCAGCGGGAGGGAGCTGGCCGGGCCTCATGGTTGGGGGTGAATGGTGAATACGCTGAGTCTGAGGGGCTGCGTGACATCCCATGAACTGACAGAGGTGCAGGTCAGACAGGAGGAGCTGGGGTTTGTGCAGAAAGGCTACTGAAGCCACAGCTGGAGGAGAGCGGACAGAGTGAGACCAGAGGAAAGAGCCAAAGGGAGGTGTCATACCAGGAGCTAGAAAAGGACTCAGAGATGCTGCCAGAAAGAGGGAGAAAGCAGGGTAGCCTGTTGTCAGCGGAGCCAGTGAGAGAGGACAATTTAAAAATCACAGATGGCAGATAGCCTCCAGTGCTTGGGAGAAGGGGAGGACCAAAGATAAAAGGACCTTGCAAATGCAAGGACCAAATCACTGGTGACCTGGAAACACATCCCCTGGCTGATGGCAACAGTGAGGAAATGCAGACAGAGGGCTGGGAGGCTGGCATGTCCTCAGAGCTGAGGCGACAGCAGTTGCTGACAACACCTGCCATGCTGGTCTGCTTGATAAACCTAAGATAAATAGTATTTCCGGATAACGCCTTCTACTGTCAAATTTTCTTTGTGGAGCTACTTAAGGTCTTCACCAAGGGTCCCCACAGCCCTGTGGTGGAAACTGCTTGTAACAGGCCCTCCAAGCCACCTCTGCAGAGGTGGGAGGCGGAGGGCAGCCCAGGGGAGATGCCACCGAAAATAAATGCTCCCAAGGAGAAACCAGACATTAACTTCAGTGCTTCTCAAACTACCCAGGTTGAAGGAGTAGTTTGTCAGGTTGCAATTTCCAATCCATTGTTGACCAATGCCTTGGTAAATTACAACAAAAATGAACGACTAGTAAAGGACATAAAACAGGACATACAAATACATGCCAAATACTTTATCATTACACTCAATACACAAAATTCTCTCTTAATATAATCTAAAAAACGTAACTCAGAAAAAGAGAAGAGTTACACAATATAGCATATAAAAGAAAGCATACAGGCAATTAATATAGAAAGTTACAATCACTCTCACAACTTTGTTGTAGTGCAAACAAAAAGTTGCAAGTTAAATTGATTTGCCACACTAAAACCTAATACACACACTGAATAAAAGCTATGTGTTATCTGTATTCAAAGTCTTTAAACGGGAAAAACTACTCTAGTTTTTGCTTGTTAACTTATCTATTCTAGGACAGATCTACCAAGCTACTCTCAGGGAATAATGTATAGCTAAGTTGTTTCTCTATTTTGTTTTAATAACACTCATCATAGAAACCAGTCTTGCAGAGGTATGTTGATGGAAATGGGGGAAGAGATTTCAGCATACTTTTGACAAGCTCAGAACATTAATTTTTAACTTTTATCCAAAATGAAAGCAAATGATGCTGTATTTTCAAAATGCATCTTCAGTCCTTCAGTAGTTGCCAATTCCCCAACCTATCCTGTGCAGTTACTGTTAAAATTAAATTATCTTTCGATGAAATAAGTAGAAATGAGATCCATAAATTTCCCAAGCTTGGCTTCTTCTTGATAGAAAATAAAATTCAAAATGCTCTATAAAATCATAAAGTATTCAGTAATAATGTTTTCTAGGCGTTCAATGTGAAGATCATTACCCCCTTCACTGATAGCTGTAGCTAAATCATGGAACGTAACATAGTAATCTGCAAACTCCGTCCTTCCAAACTTCTAACTTTTGTTTTTGTCCTTTGATTTTATCTGCCATTTAAAAATATGTTGCATTCCTTTGTTGCATGGAAGTTTTAATACCTAAGAGGTCAAACAACTAAGCAAGTCTGGCTAACTCATATCTTTAAAGAATTGAGAACAAGCTGGTTTCCTGTCTTCAAGAAATACGACAGCTTATTTTACAGTTCATTTTCCATAGACAACCACGATACCTCAGGATGCAATAACAGTTTGTAATAATTAGCATCCATATTATCCCATATAAGGGAGGATAATCTTTAATGTCTTTGCCTTTATATAATTTACAATTTTTATTTACATCATCACTAAGCACACTGTTTAGTTCAGATGACATCTTTCTGAACCACAACTTCTTTAATGGAGGAAGGAGTGGAGTGGTTTACACTGATGCAAGCTCCTTAATATTCTAATATTAATATTCTTAATATTCTAGAATATTCTCCCATGCTGTCAGAACACACTCCCTTAAGCCAAACTCAAATTTCAAACTAAACTTGTTGACAGTGTAGTTTTTCATAGTTTTATATAGTAGTTCAGAGTTAGTTGTGTTTATCAGCAATGAAGCTAAAAAGAATTCTTCCTATATCAACATCATATTCAAATTACACATTTACTAGAAGTGCCAATTAGTAAATCTGTGCATTCTTGAAACTATAATGAAAAATTCTCTACTACTTGTTCTGTGCCTTGGCTTTCTATATCAATAGCCAGTTTCTGAATACATCATTAGAAAGTGGTACATGAGCCATCTTCTTGGCCATAGATTTACTGAACATTTCCACATCAGCATTTTTGATGCAGTCCTTCACCACTGTCTGGATAAATGTATATTGTCTTTTTATTCCTAGTAAATCAAATTGTTATTTAATAAGAAGGCGACAGAATACTCATGTTGATATATGAAACAGCGAACACTTGCATCTGTCAGCTCTTTTTTGTTGTTGTTGTTGTTGTTTTACTTTTGCGGTACGCAGGCCTCTCACTGTTGTGGCCTCTCCCGTTGCGGAGCACAGGCTCGGACGCGCAGGCTCGGCGGCCATGGTTCACGGGCCCAGCCGCTCCGCGGCATGTGGGATCTTCCCGGATCGGGGCACGAACCCGTGTCCCCTGCATCGGCAGGCGGACTCTCAACCACTGCACCACCAGGGAAGCCCCTGTCAGCTCTTTTAATTGAATACTTTCTTTCAAAGAATTCTTTTTGTTTTTCACTGTATTTCTTTAGTTTATCTGTAAATGCTTTTTAAGAATTGATGGTCTTATCTCTTCATCAGCCAGTACTTCCTCAGAAAATAGCACACTGTGTTTAGCAGTTTATTTGGCTACTTATGGTTGCAAAACTGAACTGAATGTATGAAGGTTCATACAGTTAACTTAAACTAATATCAAATCTTTTGCTTTGAAGTGACTTCCATTGTCACCTTTTAGTTTACTACTACCGTGCATTGAGAAAAGGAGTCTTTTCTTGACAAAAAGAAAAAATATCCAGTGACATTTGCTTTGCCAGTATTAAATTAAGGTTAAGAATAATTAATATACATTTACTGACAAATAACATTTAGCTAATAATATTAAGCTATAAAGAAACTGAACACGTGAAGAACTCATAACTCAAAAAAGACAAACAATCCAATAAAAAAGAATGGGCAAAGGCTTTGGACAGATACTTCACAAAGAAGATATTTGGATGGCCAATAAGCACATAAAATGATGTTCAACACAATTTGTCATCAGAGAAAAACAAATCAAATCCCAAATGAGATACAATGACAAGCCTATTAGAACGGCTAATACTTAAAAGACTGGAATACCAAGTGTTGGCAAGGATATGGAGTCACTGGAACTCTCATGCACTGCTGGTATTAATGTAAAATAGCATAATCATTTTGGAAAAAACTCTGTCAGTTTTCCATTAAGTTAAACGTACACTTACCATATTACTCATCAATTCCACTTCTAGATATTTACACAAGAAAAATGAAAAATATATAAAGCTTGTACATGTATGTTTCCAGCAGCTCTATTCATAATGACCAATATTGGAAACAACCCAAGTGTCAATCAATATTTGACATTGATAAATAGATAAACTGTGGTACGTCCATACAATGGATTAGTCATCAGCAATAAAATCTAATATACTATCAATAACACACAACAACATGAATGGATCTTAAAATCATTATGGTGAATAAAAGAAGCCAGACAAAAAAAGTACATAGTGAATAAGTAAGTCCATTTCTGTGAAGCTCTAGAAAACACAAACTCAATCCATAGTGACAAAAAGCATATCAGTGATTACCAGTGGCTTTAAGGTAAAGGGTGAAAAGGGGACAAAGCATAGAATGACTGAGAAGGGGCATAAGAAAGCTTTTTAGGAACATAGCCATGTTCTATACCTTGATGGTGCTAGTGGTCATTACATGGATGTATACATTTGTCAAAACTTATCAAATTGTCACTTAAATGGGTGCATTTTTCTGAAATGTAAGGTATAACTCAATAAAGATGATTAAAAACAAAATCACACCTTACAACATAGTTCTAAAACACATAACTGACACACCACCTATGCCATACGTAACTTACCGCGTGAGTCCAACAACACCCAACGTGTTCTATACTCCGGTCAACACGGTTTGTCTACTGATCACTTGCGTGGATACTCTAACAATGTTAAATTATTATAAATGTTTCTAAATGCTTACTCTTAGGTCCTGTATTTAACTCACCGTGAACTGATAACAAACAAACAGTTCACAAACGAGCCGTAAGCTATAGATGACACTTTGAGTGGCCTTGTGCTAAATCACATGCCTAGCATATTCTAGATTCAGTAAAATTCCAACCTACTTTAAGGCTGAGCAAATTTCCTAACCTCTTCATTTATGCTAAAAGTAGTACTGAAGCTCATTCCCATACAGGGAGTTTGGTGAAATTCATAATAAAGTACTAATGACTGAACTTGAGGAGGAAAGGAATGTAAGGAAAAACTGTTACTAATCCTGTGCAATTCTTTGAGCCTTAAGTGAATAAATGTTTAGAGGAGTGTAATGGACAGAATTCTGAGATGGCGCCAAGATTCCCTTTCCTGGTACACAAAGTCTGTATAATCCCCTTCCCTTGAATGTGGGTGAGACCAGTGAATATGATAGGCTATCACTGCCATGATTAGATACACTATATGACAAAGATGGCAGAATTTTGCAGATATTATTAAAGTCCCATATCAGTTTGAGTTCATCAAAGGGGAGACTTCCTAGGGAGGCCTGACCTAATCAGGCGAGCCTTTTAATAAAGGGTCTAGAGGTAAGAGGTAAGTAGCTGCAGAGGAGCTTTTCTGTTGACCTTGAATTAGCAACTGCCATGCTGAAGAGAGGACCACGTGAAAGGGAAGGGCAGGCAGCCTGTAGAAGCTGAGGACCTCAGTCCTACAGCCTCAAGGATTTAAATCCTGACAACAACCAGTGAGCTTAGAAGAAGAACCTAAGACTCAGATAAGAACACAGCCCCGCTGACACTTTTATTTCAGCCCAGTGAGACCCTGAGCAGAGGACCCATGTAAGCAAAGCTGGGATCTATGTAAACTGTGGAAAAATAAGTTGTTGATTTAAGTGTTAAAAATAAGTCGTTAAAAATAAGTGTTGTGTTAAGGCCTAAGTCTGTGATGATTTACTGTGCAGTGATAGAAAACTAATAAAGGCAGAATCCAAAAATAGAGTTTATTTGTACATACAGCCAACTTTTGACAAGGTTCCACCCCAATGACATGCAAGTATATGGAGATATTGTTCTGAAAGGAAAGCAGATGTGACCTGGAAAAATTTTTCTCAATAGATAGAAGAGCCCCTTTGGAGGGAGGCTACATGGAAACAGGGTGAGAGGAGTCTCTGGAACAGACCAGATGTGGTTTCAAATTCAGCCTCTACTCCTTATTGACCCTATGACCTGTGGGAAATAATGTAATTTTTCTACACCTCATTTTTAGCATCTGAAAGACAGAAAAGTTAAACACCTACTAAATCAGTTAAGTTTCTGTGACTGCGAGCAAGAAAGTAACTGGCTTAAAAAAGAAAGAAAGAAAGAAAAATGCATTAATAGTATAAGAGCAGCTCTCAGAATCCAAAGAAAAGCTAATGGATGGGCCTTGGGAAGGGCTGGAAGCAGAACAGCCCTGGGGATGTGGGTAACAAATTATAAACAGTCTTTTCAGGGGCCGCTGCTGTTGCACTGAATCAGCTCCATCCTTGCGTCGCTCCCCTCAAGATCAGGATTCCAAGGAGGGAGATGCCCAGCGGGGACCCAGAGCCAGGGAAGTCTGGTGTAACCTGATTCACAGGCAAGCCTCCACCAGGACCACCCCACAACAGCACGCCCTGGGGGGAGGGTGGTCCCCCAAAGGAGAAGCAAGTGCTGCTACCAGAGAAGGTGGGAAAAGAACTTGACAGGTGGAAACAGCAGACAGCCCCCACACCTCCTCATGGAATGGAATGCATGAAAACAAGACTTTACACATGGCAAGTGCTCAAAATAGCAGCAATGACTAGTCTCACCCAATTTGTCAATGTCTCATAAAATATATTTGGAAACACAATCCAACTACACATTAAAGCTATAAGCTGCTAGACAATACTTGCATTAGCTTCTATAATTTGCAGGTTATCTTTTGGGCCCTGGTTTCTGTGTTCTTCCAAAATTCCCAATATATATTCTAAATGAAATATGCAGCGCTGTACAATTTCAGTAGATTTATTTCATCCATCTTCCAATACACAAGTTTTTCTTCAATTTTATTAATCCAGTGATTAACTTGTCCACTGAGTATTTAAATTAATTTCTTTGGTTTTGATTTAAGTCTGCCTTTTCTTTTTTCATAACATCTTTTTATTCTTATGCTTTAAATACGTTCTTTCATGTTTCCAATAGTTTGAAACATACTTATTTAATATTCGCCATCCAGCAGTCTCTTATATAACTTTATAGCAGTCTAACTCCACTGCTGGCCATGTGTACTAAGCTTCGGGTGTGGTAGATGGTTCCCTCAGGGGGTCTTTAATTTCGGATTGTGAGCCCATCTTCAGAAACACTTGATATGTGGGAATTCTGTGCAGCCTGAGTATAGTGTGTCCCTCAAGAAAAGCATCACCACCTTGGGACCCCTCTTATGCTAATTAATCAGAGTGAGGATTCTTACACAAGTAATAGCATTCAAACCCCAAACCCAAGTAAGAGTACACCTGAGATTATAAATCCCACCACACCCAGCCCCAAGCCAGAGGGGGTAAACTTCCTGCTAATCTCCCCAGTCTGGTGGGCGTATTTTCTGTGGCCTATTCTTTCACCAAGAATATGGTCCTGAGCAGCCTGGCTTTAAACAGAAATCCCCACCCTCCTCGGACCTAAGGTCTCATCATCTACCTCTGCAGCCCCCTAAGTGCCCTGTGGTCACCAAGACTGGCCCACTTTCCCAAGGATGCTCTAGCATCAGCTCACACAGTTCTCACTCATGAAAAGGTTTTTGGACACTGGATTTCCTATGATTTCTTGGCATCTCTGCCATGCATTTAAAACATCGATGTTTTACAGCCAGCAGTACCAAGTGCTCTATAAGAGCAGGGTTTTCAAGATATTTCATCTACCATACTTCCAGGAACAGAAGTCCCAGGGTATACAGTCACTAAGTATGAGATATCCTAAACCAAGTATTTTTTTCCCTTACACTAGCTATGCAAGAAAAATAAATTCCCTTTAGTCTAGCCTCTCACCCATAAAAGATGTGACCTACTAGCTGCTGGAACAAGTCAAATGAACACACTTTTAAAAGATGCTGAAAATGCAGATAATTAGAAGAAGAAACAACACCAATCTCGCTACTATTAGACATCTATAGTTTGTTTACAGTATTTATTATTAGAATTCATTCTTATAAATAAAGCTCTATGTCTATGTTTTGTATTTCATAAGACTTCCTAAGGACTGATTCCTAGAAATTAAATTACTGGGACAAAGAGAATAAATCTGTAAAGGTCTTTCCTAATAATAACAAAAGTAATAGCTAAATACATGTTGCTTAATTGCTTTCCTAAAGGACTGTACTTCCAAAGCAAGAGCAGTTTAAGAACATCCACTTCACAGTGGCCTATTAAGTTTGGGTTATATGAGTGATTTCATTCAAGAGTCAATGTGTAAGCGTAAGACATTAAGGCGTTTGAACAATTAACGGGAACAAAAAACAGAAAGATAAGGCTTTAATCTAAACTGCAAAGGCAGAGAATCATAGTACCAAAAAGAAAAGCCATTCCCTCCAAAAAATACAGTCTGAACATATGATAAAGAACACTGAGCAAAGGTCAAGACACAGCCGTTATTAAGTAGGAGTTAAGCATTTGCTTTTCAAAAGCAACAAGAAGGTGCCATTTACTGCCCTCTGCGGTTGACCACGACCCACGAGTGAAAGTACCGTCTTGGTCGGTCCCACCTGTCTGCCTCCCTCCCTTCCACGTGTGACCCCGACTTGCCCAGAAAAGGACCAGTAGGGCAGGGCACACAGCACCCACTCAAAGGTCTCCCGAGATGACAACTTCCCAGGCTGTAATCAGAGGACTAATTCCAGGGACCCACCGTTCCTTCCCGCATCTACAGAAGATGAAGCTGGAGGAGGCAGCCCTACCCCCTTTTCTAGGAAAAGACGTTTAACGTAAATCTTAAACTGGTGATTTTGTTTTCAACCTCCCCATCCACTGAAGTTAAGGAAACAGAAAGATACAGCACACCGATTTCAAAACAGCAACCACCAAAATTGACAGTCCAATTTAAAATTTAAAAAATAGAGAAAGAAAAGAAAGTCTTTAAACTAGCAACCAGCTGGCGCTCTGTAGACTCTTTGTAGAGTGGATTTTAAATTACAAATTAGAGTAAAACAACAGGAGCGAAAATAAAGAGTAATCAGGGTCACTTTCTGAAGAAAATCTCCAGGACAACCATGGTCCTGACGGGCTTCGGCCGCCCATGCCAGCTGTAATTGCTCTGAAAATCACAGCTCCCCGAGAGGCAGAGCTTTCTTGGTAAAACAAAGCTATGATTACTGGAAAGCAGAAATGCTCAAAAAGAATCACCAAAGGAAAAAAATATTTTTTTCAATCTTCAGATTTACCATATGGAGTCAACCTCTAATGACTAAAGGCAAAATGCATTTTGGGGACACGTTCCCCATGCCACACATTTCCTAGGCACTCCCTGCAGTCACCACATGTTTTTCCAATAACACGTTTATTTTATTATCACAGTTACATTCAACAAAACTCACTCTCTGCAAAACGGTCCTCGTTTCTCTTGCTTCTCTGGAAACTTCCTTGAGCCTTCCCACTTAAAGGACAGTCCTATCACAGTTTCCTTTTATAGTATTACACAATCCAAATTATAATGATAAACTCATCTCTAAACCATATGTTAGTGACTCTGAAATTAAAACAAAATGTAGATTGCCCAGTACTGCAGAATCTAAGATTTGGAAGGGACCTCAGAGGGCACCAAATTCTACTCTCCACCCACTAAAGACGCACCCTAACTCAGCCTTTAGGCTTGTTCAAACCTGAGCCCGGTCTGTCCACCAGTAACCTCTACCCACAGAGGTAGTGCTACCCCAGGGAGCCCCCCAGAACAGGCCCGCTCCTTCTCTAAGACAGTCATGAAAATGAGGAAGAGGCTCTTCACAACCCGGCCAGGTTTCTATACCAGGCCTCCCTAAGCCCTCTGGCTGCCCCCAAATTCTCCTGCGTGCTGTTCAGGACACCCTTCACAGAGTCATGGGCCCTCCTAAGATACTGCTCACAGCGCATTGCAGCCAAAGCCTTCATATCCCTTTGAAAGAATGTAAAGCTTTACAGGCTCTCATCCATATATATAGCTTTATTTTCTGTAAATGTAGTCGAGTAAAACATACAGGTCATCTTTTATAAAAATGTTGTTTTTCCAGTATCTTTCTATACTCGTGTAATAAAATTTTACCCAAGAGGTAGGACATTTATTTCAATTATGTTTCCTCATTTTAGTTGGTTTCAACCTATTAACATCTCAACTTCGTCATATAACATTAGGTATTCCTATCAGCCTTCTATCACTTTCAATTGTTTTGAGGAAGTCCTCCCAGATATAGGACACTGATCTTTTTTTTTTTTAGGTGAAGACATGACAGCATTATGACATCCAGTGAGTCTGCCTGTCCCTTTCTGATGACTCAAAGCAAAAATAAAAACAAAAAACATCAACCAGATTGTTTTTAAATAAATGGTGAGTTCATCTTACTAACATCTAGCCCACAAGGATATTATGAGAATCCCTATCGAGTGTATTCCTAAAGTAAGATCCACCAGCCCAACGTCACCTCCATTCACTCTTAGCTAACCCACGACATTGGTTCCTTGTAATTTTGCAGTCATTTAGAAATTCTAACAATATGCTTATCAACTTGCCCCACATTTTCACTTCTGATTTAATAAAAAAATAAAGCTACTGATTATCAACCAGGTACTGTGTGGAATAGACTTCACTAGAGATTACTGTCAAGCTTATGATTAAAATAAACTTGCTTATTTTCCATTTTTAAAAACTGGCTTATTTGCCCAACCCTACTCTTCTGGCAAATGGAGATCACGCACAATGAAATAACGTGTAATTTAGATCAACACCAATGAGCTGTCAAAGTGCCGTATCTTTGTTCTCTTTCAAATCAAGATCCTTCAATAGTAAAAAGGGACGAAAGCTTCTCCTGTGTCCTAAGGTCTTTCACCTTCACACCCAGAATCTCAAGGTCTCTGGACCCTGAGGTTTAGGGCCTACACAAGGCAACAGCACCCATTGGCATCAGCGAGCTCTTTGGTAGCTCTGAGGTCTGGTCAGGCTCTGCTCCATCATGAGAACAAGCCCCAGAGGAAGACACACAGGTCTGCCAGCAGGTCAGCTCTTCAGATGGCTGCTTCTCTACTTTTCTTGCTGCTAAGCAACAAGGTTCCTCTCCAGTGCTGGCAATGGCATGCTACCTTCTGGATGCTCCAGGGAACAGGGGAGGCCTCTCCCCTAAGAAGCCCCTCATTTCTTCCTGCAGCTCCGCCCTCAATTCTATTGTGCATGCCCCACTTCTTGCCCTGCATGGCGTTTGTCTCCTGTCAGAGCCTCAGACTCCTTTTCACGTTGACTCCTGATTATTTCTCCAATCCTAAGAATTCCTTAATCTGTGTTAACAGGCAAAAAGCAGAGAGACATTCTTGAAAGCCATTCTCCTTCCCCATAGCAAAGGAAGGAGCTTCATCTGTAACAGATGTAACTGATGCTGCTTTCAAAGCACAAAGGCAATAAATATGGAGGCCCCTCTGCAGTATTTCGGTTGCTTGTAAGAAGTGCATCCTGTGTGGCTCCTGCTGGGACCTGCCGTACAAAACTGGGTATTTTCTTCACCCATTTTGGCTGGGGCTCTGAATCTCATTAGGTATACATCTATCTAGTTCTTCAGCTCCTATTTCCTCCTGAAGTTTGCTAATTTTTTCAGATGGGTAGCAATTAGTACTGCGCAAGGTGTCACTCCCACCCACCTCCTCTAAACAGACACAACAGGTGCACACAACACCCTGAAAAACCTACGCCTCACAGCACTGCTTCTCACAGCAGAATAAGTTACCTACATGACACTCCAGCCACTGCTGGCCATGCTACTTCGTCAGAGTTCCTGGTGGCAGGGGCTT